CTCTGAGCAAGTTTCGCTGAGCAAGTTCTCTGAGCAAGTTTTGCAGAACAAGTGCTCTGAGCAATTCTCTTTGAGCAAGTTCTTTGAGCAATTCTCTCTGAGCAAGTCTCTGTGAGCAAGTGTCTCTGAGCAAGTTTCTCTGAGCATGTTCTCTGAGCAAGTTCTCTGAGCAAGTCCTCTGAGAAAGTTCTTTGAGCAAGTTATCTGAGCAAGTTTCGCTGAGTAAGTGTTCTGAGTAAGACTCTCTCAGCAAGTCCTTAGTCAGTCCTTAGTGCAAGTTCTTAGGGCAAGTTTTGCTGAGCAAGTCTCTCTGAGCAAGTTCTTGGGGAGAGTTCTCAGAGCAAGTTTCGCTGAGCAAGTTCTCTGAGCATGTCTCTGATCAAGTCTCTCTGATCAAGTCTCTCTGAGCAAGTTCTCAGTGCAACCTCATTGGGTCAATGTGGTGCTTTGCTCGATTCACTCCCTCAGGCGACTCGCTGGGGCTAAAGAGCAGCGGTCCCAGCGAAGCGGGCCTCAACCGAGCTTTGCTTTTGCATGGCGTACATGGTTTTCGGGAAGGCCCAGTAGCCAGCAGCGATTTCTTCTGGGTCCTACCCACACCTGATTAGATTTGGAGGACCATGTTCCTTCAAAAGGGGCCCTTCGGTTGTTAGTTGGCGGGAGCAGTTCCACTATGCTGTTGGCTTTGCCTTATGCTGAGGTGTTGACTTTGAAGTGGCAGGCTGATGGTGCTTTGTGGAGATGCATGTGAGTCATTTGGCAATGTGTTTCAGAGGTTGCTCGTTTTGAATGGTCTTAGATGACCCACCCACTGTTGTGGGCCCCTCATGTGGAGACCAAGCCATTTGTCCTGCGTGGTTTGGTGAGAACGGGAGCGCATGACAAGACGAAAGAGACTACAGACTGTTGCGAAGCGATTTCATCCTCTCGATCATGCTGCTATGGTTGTCCTTGGCCAGGTGAATATGCCTTCGGCATGCTGCAGCGAGAAACAGGTACACACAGGTCCCAGCCTCGAGACCTTTACATAGGATGCGTGCAAATGAGACGGGGCCCACCCTCGTAACCTTCAGTCGACGCACAGTGTCACAGGGCTGCAAAAAGGGGGCCTTACTCTGGACGGGCTTCCCAATACTGAGCCGTGCGGAGGTGAATGAATCTGTTGGCCAAATTTGACTCGGAGACCAGTCGGTCCTTCCACAGATGTCTGGGCCAGGATAGTGGGAACAGGTCCCTTGGCTTGGAAGACGCAGGTGGCAGCCAAAGGCATCACCCCGTTGCCAAGGTTGGTGCGGATCTGGAACGGCAAGCGGCAAACGACCTTTGCAGGTGTCGAGGCGAGCCAGTGGTCCCCTTTCAAAGACCTTTGATCAGGGTGTGTCTCCGAAATGAGGAAGCACCGGCTGGTTGGGGTAGTGTCTCTTTGAACTTTTGCTTGAAACACCCACGGCAAGCTTAAACAAAAAGACACACCAACGTCATTGCTAGGAGAGGGAATGGTCAAGGAACCGCATCACCATGGCAAATTGCAGGACAAGAAAGCCAGAATCAAAGCCGATTCGTGTAGATGAAGCTCATGCGCCCTTCTCATTCTTTACGTTTGGGCACACTCCTTTCAATCCGAGGTTTGATATTCACTTGGCAACTCGCAACTGGGGGAGTGGCTCAAAAACAGGTGGTGCCACTGCTGCCCGACGACGCCGTTACATCCCTGGAGCTGGACCCCAAAGACCTGCAGTGACCTGGGCGCGTTTGAAGGGTTCGGCCGGGAAAGCCAGAAGCATGCCCTGAATTCCTTGTGACTCTCAAAAGCAGTCCCATGGCACGAGGGAAGTCAGCACCTCTGCCCTGACGGCACTTTGCAAAAGCCAGCAAGCGCATGTGGGCCTCTGATTTTTGTTCGACCCGCAGGGCATCCTCCAAAGCAGGAGACCACACTGGTGTTAAGCAGCTGTGGACGGCAGGTGGGACTTCTTCCGGTCCGGTGGAAAGGGAGGCCAGAACGTGAACAAGGTGGAAACAGGCGGGGGAGTTGTGCACAGCTTTTTTGAACGGCGCGAACGGCGCCTTTCTTCCCAAGCGAACCTGGGAGCGTGGGGAGAAAATCCAGGTTCACGGTTGTGTTGAAGGGGATATGCCATTCTTGGGAAGCGTTTGCTGTTTTTGTTTGCGCCAAAAACTCCGATTCAAGGTGGACATTTGTCCGCCAACCATGCCTTCAACCAGACCATGTTGGTAGAATCAAACTGAGCTCCGGAAGGTGACTTGTTTGCTTGGAGGTGCCCACCCGAGGGGCCACCGAGCTTTACAACGTTGTGGGAACGGCTCAGAATCTTGTCCGCGGTGTACCTTCGACTGAGGAGTCCGAGTTACTCATACACCGTCCTGTCCCCAGCATGTGCTCAGGCTTTGGAAAGGCAAGCGTAAGTGAGCCACGACCAAACCTGCTTGAGTAGACAAAGCTTAGTGGCCCCAAACGAACCCTGATTTGCATGGTTTCGGGCAGATCTTTGAGCCTTCAGGTTTGATTCAGTGCAGTTTCCCTAAAGTCCAGGGCTTCATTGAGGGCTTGGGCTCTTTGCAATTCGGCTCCAGTCCTGTGCACAAACAGCATGGCACGATGACCTTGTATGCCTCATGAGTCATGGGCGTGTGTCATTGTTTATTCATGTTTTTTCTTTTTCGGAGGACTCCAGTTGGCGGTTCTCTGGGCTTCCTTCGTGGCCATAAGGTATGTCAATGAGTCAATACATCCTCGCGATTTACATTGGATTTTTACCATCTTGTTTTGCTGATAAGTCCAATGCGAGACTTAAGTGACCATGTTTTGTCCCTTGTGCGCTTTTGGGTTCCCTGATCTTCCTTTCAACTAGCAGCAAGTTCAATGTTGGCAGGGGGTCTAAGTTTGGCAAGATGGAAGATTCAGCATTTTTGTGACATGGGCTCACGTCTCACGTCCTGGGACTCAGGACTGGCGTTGTCATGAAGTGTACAGAGGAACGCAGCCAGCTGTTGAACAAGGGCAAGGCCAGAAATGTGGGAGATTGCGTGGTCCATGAGTCGTACATCTCCAGTGGTGCCCTTTTGATTTTTCTGAATTAGGGCCCCCTTTACACTCGACCAAAGAAGGGTGCACGGTTTGGCCCATGGCTGGAGGTGTGTGGTTCATCCCAACCCCCTGATCATAAACGGGGGCCACACCCCCACCCCTTCTCAAAACCATTGCCCTCTTTTGTTTATTGCTGGGGGGCCCCATGGTTTTGGTAGTGAAGAACTGGTCGCTTTCGAAATGCAGGGAGGTCGACCCAAACGGAAACAGCATGCCATGCTTTTATATGTACGTGATGTAAGCAATTCAAGCATGGGGACCTTTCAGATTTTGGGCCATAGGGACACCCAAAGAGGGCCACCATAAGGAAATAGCAACTCTCCAGAATGCAATCTTAAGCGAGGTGTTCAAACAACTCGTGCAGGCACAGAAGGTGCGTGAGTGAGAGGAGAGCGAGAGAGAGAGAGAAAGAGAGACTGAGACAGGGAGAGATGTGGTTTAGCGTTGGGTCACTTCTGATTTAGTGTTGAGGGATTTCGGGTTCGGGAAAACTATATTCAATTGTTGGGACCGTAGTCGCCAGTTAGTTTGGAAGTGTCAATCAAAGTAAAGGGAAGTTACGCCGAGCGACAGTTCCACTACTTAGATGGCTTCCCCTTTAAAAAGGGGCCAGGGTACGTTCCAACTAGTAGATGCAGATGCAAGTGGGTCAAAAGCATGTAGCACCTTGAACAGGGCGGCCATTTTGTGGCGACAGCTCGCGAGGCCTTGGTCAAGCTTAAGGCGAAATTGCTGCTGATCCAGGACGCGATCTGTGGCGTTTTGGCCCACGAATCGACCTTTGAGCTTTTGGTTTACACTCCTCCATTTTTAGTCATGGCCCCAAAAGGTGAACCCTGTATTTCTAGGTCCTTTGGGCAAGTGAGTCAATACTGTCACACAAGTTTTGACCTTTGATCTCCATTTGGGCAAATTAGATGAGATTCCCACTGGTGCTCGTGCGCGGCATGGCGATGAATTCGGATGGGCGGACTCCCTCCCCCCCAAGAGAAACAACTATCACATATTGGTGGACAGGAATCCCCACAATGAGGCTCAGTCAGCAAAGGGTCCCTAGTTAAGATGTACACACCCACATGGGATTGTCGGTATTCTTTTGGGTTTGCTTAGAATCTAAGGGACACCGATGGACAGGGGGGGGGGGGTTGAACCGTGTTTTGAGGCACACCTACCAGAGACGGCCACTGACAACCGTGTGTCACCAACAGCCATTTGTCTATGTGGGGGGAGGGGAGGGGCCCCGCGTATCGGACCGGAAGAAAGACCTTCCCCACACACTTTCCCGCTGTGGATGAAGGGAACAAGCAAGGTTGGGGGGGGTGGCGCAACGTTGCTGACAAGCTGCTTGAAAAGTGGCTGTGGGTCAAAATTAAGCCACCAGGGGACCGCAGGGTTTAGTCCATGGTTCCTTCTACCAGGGTTCTATTTTGGGTACCTATTTTTGACCCACACACAAGTCAGGAGCAGCAAAAGGTGGAAGAGTTGCAGAGCATCCGGGGGGACCTGGTGTCAGCCCAGCGGCTTGACAGACACTTTGCCCTGAGGGGTCACAGACTGTGACCCAACAGCTTGCTTGTTTAGTTTCCCTGAGGTGGGGCGCGCAGGCACGGGGGCAGCCTGGGTGGGTTTGTTATTTGTCATTGGAGTTTTCCTGGCAGGTGCGCAACTACGTGCTCCAACCTTACACGTTGGTGAAGGACCTGCAAGTCTGATCCAACCGATGGAGGCTGATACATGAGCCGGACGCATTGTCGATTGCCATTGCAGGACGTACGTAGCGGACATGAGCGCGGAGACGCCGAGCGTGTCCTCAATGGGGTCCTTCTGACACGGATTTGACTTCACCAGTGGAAGCCTTAATTCCGACTTCTACTGACAGGACCTGGACTCTCACGTTGATGCATTGCTGCGGATGCAAGTCGATGGCGACAAAAGTGGGCGTTTCAGTTGATTGAGCTTGCACTTGACTGCCATTATACACGATTCAAATTGTTCCCTTAGGCATTAGTTGACCCCGGATAAAGGCCCGGTGGCTGAGCCAGCATTCTCGAAAGTTATGGGGGAGTTGGCATGCCGCTTGCATCACTCGCATGTGATCCGTGAATTGTTCGCAATCACCTCCAGCGGGCGTCGCAGCCTGGATCATCCAAGGCGCGGTGTTGTGCGTCGATCGCTCACCAACAAGTGCAACGCAAGGGCGTTGCTGCTTGCTCAGCTACTCTAATGCATGCCTCGGAATCCGGAAGACCGTGATTCACTGGCGCTGTGCGGTTGCTGGATGTGCGGTTCTGGGGTATGCTCAAACTCAGAGCTTGACGAGCTACAGAGACGAGTGTTGTTGCGAGCGTCGCGTGCTTGACAGAAGTGATGCAACCAGCTTCTCAGACTCGTGTTCAGGGGCTGCCGAGGAGACAACAAACGCAAACACAATCCATCAAAAGCTGCAAAGTTTGCGTGCAAGAAAGTTGTGAATCATGAACCCCTGCGGAAGAAGCGCTGCCGGACATGATCAAACATTAGAAATGGAGAGTAGTACCAGGATATCGGTTTTGGGTAGGCCCCTTAGATTTGTGGCAATATTGTCAGCTCAACTTGCTTCACTGCTTCGTGGTTAGAAGGGAAACTCGCGTTTGCACACCCTGTCAAGCTGGCAGAAATGAAGCGACAGCAATCCGGTGGCAAGCGTTGCCAGCACGTCCAACGGAACAATCTACCAGAAAATGATGTTGGTACGGACTGATGGAGAAGTTTCGTAGGAGTCACATGCGGCTTCCCGAATTCAATCGATGCCTTGTGCTACTGCTGCGCTGCAAAGGTACAGGTAGTACTATAGTGGTCAATACATGCCAGGGTCAATGCGACCAGCTGACATTGCGATGCTCATGCTGTTAAAGCGGTACCACTCACCGGGCCAGCTGGCCTAGCGAGAAGCGGCCTTCGCAAAAGTCAGAACCAGCCCTGAAGACCCGGCTCACAGCAACTTTGTTTCGGCTGGTAGGGAGGGGAAGGAACGGAGCATGTGTGGGGGGGGGGGGGGGCGGCAGAAGCAACTCCTACGTTTCTTTCAGAGCTTCCTAGGTATAATTTATAATCTCTCCCTCTCTGCAGCAAGACTTGGGAAACCCAACGTTGCCGACAAGAGGCCATGCAGTTCAGGACTCGGAGCGCTAGGGGAAGCTGGCCAAAATTTCTCTGCACCGATGGTTGCGTGCCTCTGCGGAAGCGCGGCGGCCGCCGTTGAATTGCAATAACTCACGTGTGCAGTATTGTTCGGCCGCTGTAGGATCACGAGGACTGAGCCTGAGTTCTGAACAGCAGCAGAATATCACTGTTTTTGTTCAGAGGGCACCAGCATCATAACCCCGTCTTGTCAGTGGAGCCTTTTGGAATGCTGGTGTTTGCGCGTTGGGAGTCGCCAGTTGCAATCCAAAACTCTTCATCGAACAATCCCGACCTAGACATTTACCTGCCCAAGGGCTCAGACGAACGTTTCTTGCCGCGCTGAAGCTGCCTGCTTGCTTGACTTCAATAATTTTGCCACTGGGCTGAAACTTTCGGCTGCGGCTGTCCTGGCCCAACCCCCGGCGGGAGCCTCAGGCTTCGGGCCCTTGGCAGCCTCAAGCTTCGGCCGTCGCAGCCCACTGGTGGCCTCACGCTTTCCCCGGAACTCCCACGGAAGCTGCCAGTGTTGTGGTGCTTCGTGGACAGTCTTCGGCTTGTCTTTTGCGCCAACTGTCGTCACCCACACGCCTTAGTAGTCAAGCATTCGCGCTGTCACGGCACGCGCGGGAGCCTGCGCTGTTGCTGCTTTGGCCGGGGCAACTGGCTGTCACAACTGTCCAAACCGGGCTGCTGGTGGAGCCTCAGGCTTTGGACTGCCGCAGTCTGTCACAAGCTCTGTTACAGCTGTCTGCCACAAGCTCTGTCACAGCTCTGGGTCACATCTGTCAGTCGCGGCTGGCTGTGGTGGTCACATGTCACTCAACCCCAAACCAGTGGAAATATGGGTTGACAAAACGCACAGATGCACGCGGATGCCAAGTGAAGCGAGACGCCGGTGTGGTTCCATGAATTGTGGGCCGGGCGGGTGCATTTGTTCCTCGCAGGCCGAGTCCTCTCTTGCCGTAGAGCGACTGCAATGCCGGGAAGCCAAGACTTGACCCAGCGAGACCGCAAGCGGGCAGTACTTCTCTCCTTTTACCACCTTGTTCTTCAAGGAGTGCTCGCAGACTGAAGTAATTAAGCACTTGTTGATTCTGCAAAGCTCCTGGTTCTTTACGACCGCTAAACCGTGGGCTGCGAAACGTAGCCGGCGACAAGAGTTGCAGGTGCGCCCGCCTCATGGAAGTGGCAGAGGGGGGAATCCTGATCCCAGTAATTCCATTCCGGGGAAGACGAAATGAATGATTTGAACTGGGGGAGCAGGACCAAATCCCCCCCTGACTTGGGCGTGGTGGGCGCAGGGCCATCTTGAAACGTTGCCCTACTATCACAGTGGGCCTGAAGGATGTTTGCATCACCCAAAAAGTGACATACAAGCCCAACATGCGCTGCCACTCTTTGGATGCGCTCCTCACTTGCAGTCGCCCTTTCAAAGCGCTCATTGGTTGGCTGCAAATCCCAACCTGAGCGTTTTGAGATAAAAGTGCGAGCGAATACGGACCTTAACCATGTTAGAACCAAAAGTGAACAGGAGCGTGCTCTGAGGTTTTGCGCTTGCTGCGCCAACGGGGCAGAGATTCAAGAAGTGGCGGAAATCCCGGCGCTACCTATCTTGAGCGCGGATCAGACTCGGGAGGCGCTGGTTTCCTGGCTGTAGTTCCTCTGGGGAAATTTACATGGACACTTCAAAAAGAGGTCCCTCCAAAAGGAGATTCCTCTACATAACATGGTTTTCTAATTTGGATTTCCAAGCAAACGCAGGTTCAAGGTCTTGCCATTTGCGGCTTTGGTATTTGCATGGTCCAATTATGAATTGTGCTTTGCCTCAGATGCCTGCAGACTGGTAGGGGGACAGGTGGGCAGGCAGGAACATAGGCGTGTGTTGTTTCATGATGGCACCTTTGCTCGGAACCTTAATTACTGCAAAGGGAACCCAACAAACATATTTTTGGGGGAACCTTCCATATATGTCTAGATAGTTTTTGAGCCGCCGTTCCACACTACTTCCGACACTGCTTGGGTTTGAACATGGCGGCCGCTGCCTTGTTTGAAAATGAGTCAACCTGGTTGACTTGTCGATCCGCTGCATGTGATTTTCCCGCATTGACGGTCGCATTTGGTGCCTTTCTCCAGGAAGAAAAGATTGATGAGAAGAGCAAGGAAGAGAAGCCTGACAAGAAAGAGGCTCACAAAGAGCCGGTTGAGGCAGGGCGAGGCGAAGTGGTTACCCAGTCCGCCACTTTAACATGAGCAACAATCAATATCATATTGCTGTAGAGCATGAGCTTTGTGGGGCCCCTACAGCGGTTTTGCGGCTTGATTCGTGGGTGTCGGGTTCCTGTAGTGCCCTATCGTTTTGTTGTTGGCAATGTTGTCGGGAATTCAAAGCGGGATGTTGTTGCTCAGACCTGCTGCTATGACAATTTGTTGACAAGGAAAGCTTCATACCTTAAGAACGTTGTGGCTGTGTCGAAAGGAGCGACCTTCCAAAGTTTCCCTTTCACACAAATCCAAACATTCCCAAAAAGGTCCCTAGTTTGACAGATTCCCCTGAGAACGTGAATGGCAGTCGAGTGCCAGCTTGCCCGAGGAGGTCAAATTGCCAGCAAAGTCCATCACTGGCACCGGATCCTTCACCGTGACGGTGCCCGTCAAGGACCCGAGCTCAGTGGAGCCCTCTTTTTGGTTGGCCGCCTGCTGAAACTCGAAAAGGAACCAACACCATTTGTAGCAATATGGATTGACGCATGGCCAGTTCAGGGTTGCCTTCAAAGCATCCTCTTAAAGTCGGGCAAGGTAGAAGCTCTTTCGGCCGCCCAACAGCACGTCCGCAACCTTCTTGGACCGGCCGCCTCAACTTCCTTCAGAAATCTGTCCGTCTTACCATCCCCGCAAATCTGTCCGTCTTACCATCCCCCGCAACGTACGGCACAGGCGCTCAAATTTTGAGGTGGGACTCAGTGGGATATTGGACGAAGCATGGACAAATTGCCAGAGTTGTGTTGTGTGTTTTGTTTGTTTTTTAAGCGCAGGACCACTCCACGCTGGGCTTGGACGTTGATTTGACTGATGAGCTCGCCGGGCCCATGATCATTGAGGTGAAGAAGGGCGCGATTCAGAGCTTCAACGAGAAGAACCCGGGGCAGGCGTCGCCCAAACGGAAATGCCAGCTGCTGCGCAGCTGGCACTTGCTGTCGGAGTAGATGGAAGGTTTTGCCGTTAAGTCTTCCTTCAATCCCACCCCAAGCAGGGTGCCCTCGACGGACTCACCGAATTTGGTGGTGGCTCCCATCGATTTCTGGTGCTGGTCTCTGGCCGAAAACCTCCCGTTGACGATCGTTTTTTCCCCCGTTTTAAACGAGTCGGAGCTAGCAACAAATGGGATTTTCCCCGTTTTTGAGTCGGAGCTTTTCAACAAAAATTGGGAGGTTATCCAGCAGTACGATCTCATGACTACCTTGGATACCGTCAAGGGCACCGCGGCCATCTTCGAGAGGCTGAGCCTCGGCAGGCGGCTACGCTATGCCTGTCTTGCTTCGTGGGCGCGTGAGGAAAAATATGGGTGGCACTTGCCACTTGTGAAGAAACCACCAGTGTGTCTTTTGAAGTTCTGTTGTGATCCCTAAAGTTCTAGCATGCAAAACCAGGGTAGAGATTTAAATGGATTCGTTTCAACACAGTTGTGTTTTATATTTGTAAGGCTCGACATTGTTGTACCCTAGGGACTGGTTGCGCATACACAGCCGCGGCTTCTGGCTTTGCACCTGGTGCTGGCTAATGTCATTAAGGAACCATTTCACAAGTTGGTGGACATCAATCCTCACAAATGATGTCGACCGAAGGGTCCCCATTAAGTTTTAAAAACGTCCCCTCATGGAGGGTGGGTTTCTGAAGCCCGCAACATGCACCAATTTCAACCCCACAAGTGAGAATTACGCGCATTGAGGCAGATTGAAATTGAATAGTATGTGGGCAATGCACTGTTAGTGCTGTGGACCTTGGATGTTGTGCCCAAAATTGCTTGTTTGTTGCAAGGCTTTATCAGACAATTGGACCTTGAAAATTGTGCTCAAGAATTGCTCGTCAGTTGCAAGCTTGCACTGTCAGACAGTGAAGAGGAAAGGCCAGTCACCAAAAGTGTCTTGTCTATTTCCAGTGTAGCTGCAGTTCTCTTCGCATTTTTCTTGCTATTCCTGTTACACTGCTTAGCATTCGAACTGAAGACTGAAAGGAAATGCGCAATTTCAGTTCTATTGGTTTACACGTTTTAGATTTCCTCGCTTTAAGTTGAAGCATATCTCAATTCTTGTTCAAGTTAACATAGTATGTTGAACTAACATCTAAATAGGTGTCCCTTCCCAAGTAGGATTTTGGTTGGGAATCTAATAAGGACAGAGAAGCTTGTTGTATCTTCTAATTTGCAAGCCTCTGAAAAAATGGCAAAACCCAAAGCTGATTTCGTTGCAATTTATTTGCAGGGTTTACATTGCGAGGCTTACTTACATTCAAATTGGATTTCGATCAGACTTAATTTAATTTTCTTGAATGAGACATTAGTCGGCACTTCCCTTCCAAGCAGGATTTCAATTAAAAATTAATTAGATGTGTAATGGGATCTTACCCAAAGATGAGTTCAAATAGAGTTTAGTTATATATATATATATATGTTCCAGGCTTCCTTGGCCCCCCCCCCACCCAAAAATACATAAAACGGCATTTGTAACACTAAAACCAAATATTCAAACAGCATACAACAAAATCAGCAAAATTCACAGAAAACAAGATAAGAACCACTAAGCAACTCAAAAACCAGAACAACCCCCAACAAAATATTTAATCAAAGCATAAAACATTAAATAATTCAAACAAGCATACCAACAAAACAGCAAAAATAAAAACCATCAAAGAACACAAACTCAAAAACACACATCAAAAAAAACAAAGCAACATACCATCAAAAAATATCAGAAGAGTATCAAACAAAATAAAAAACAAACAGCCAAAGCACGAAAAAATCAAAAGAGCATACCAAGTTCAAACAACGCACTTTGAAAGAGTCAGCCAAATCAAGAAAAAATATATTTCAATCTTTACAAACTATAAGTTCAGTATAATTATAACATATAAGATTTTACATGTTATTATTATAGTATGATTATAATTTCAGTACAGGATAATAATTTAATTGACAAATCTTTCTTCTTTCATACATCATTTTAAAATTAATATTAATATCTCTCAATGTATTTTGAATATTAAACTTTTTACTTTCAATAAATAATTTGATATTTTCTTTAACATCTTCTCCTTTATCTTGACTATAACACAACAACCATAATATATCATCCATCATTTCATATTTTTTCTTACTAATTTTAAGAAACTGTTTAACATAATCATAAGGTGGTATTTTATTTACAGTTAGAAATATTAAAATATCATCTTCTACATTTCTATGTCGAATTCTTTTTATTCCCAACAGACATCTGATTAATTCTTGATAATATCTCCAATTTCTACAAATTTTACATAAATCTTCTTCATCCATTGAATAATTAATAATATTATTCACTATTTCATTAGGTAAATTTAATTTATACAATTCCATATTTTCTTTTTTGAAGTGACAACAATCATAGCATTTTTTATTGATATAATTATTGATTTTATCACCGTTCATTTTCCTCTTATTATATTAAGGTTTTAAATCTTTAAGTATATTTTCTAAAAAGTCACTTAAAGAAATAAACACATTAAATTTATATAGTATAGTATTATGAAACATGTTATAGATTATCTGTTGAATAATGATAAAGCGGAAATTCCAAAAAGAGGAAACAAGGAATTAAAATCAATAATTATAGATGGTAGAAAATTTAGATACAACAAAGAAAAACCCATCTCAAATGTTTTGAACAAGAAATTAAAATCAGAAGCAAGAACTAATGAGTATAATAGTTATGCAACAAAAACATTGCGCTCAACATACCTAAAACAAAGAATGAAAAATGCAATGACAAAATATGCAATCAAAAATAAATTCCAAGTAACAGACCAACAATCAGCTTTCAAAAGTTATGCTAATTCTATAAAACTAGTAAATAAACATTTTCAAGGTGAAAAGGCACTATCAATGATACACCACCAAAAAGATAGACTTTTGACCTTTTTGAAAACTAATAGAGCAATGAAACTGAATATAAGGGCAGAAGGTTTATTTTATCATTATTATGATGATGATGGAGTAATAAAACATACAGAGATACTTTATAATTTACCTGCTACAAGGTCAAACATTTATAATGAAACCGATTTGGATGAAGCAATTGAAAAATCAATCAAAGAGATTTTATTGAACATAGAAAAGTTAGAAGGTTCAGCATCTAATTTAAAATTTATAAAGATATTATCAATAACAATCCATTATGACAAATATGACCCAACTAGGGCGGGTAGTTATATAGATTTACCAGAATGGATTAAACTAAAAAAGGCATGTATTAATATCAAAAACAAAGATAACAAATGTTTTAAATATAGTGTTCAAAGTGTAGTGTTTGATATAATTAATAAATCAAATTCCCAAGAAATGTTCCATTACAACAAATTAAATGACAATATCTTAAACTGGGAAGGTGTTAAATTTCCAACTGGTAATAAAGATATTGAAAGGTTTGAAGAAAATAATAGTAAGTTAGTTTCAATCAATGTTTATGAAATTGATGATACTTTGAATGAAAAGAAAATTATAATTGATTACAGAACTAAAACAAGAGATGCTAAACATCAAATAAACCTTTTGAAAATTGAAATCAATAATAATAATCATTATGTAGTTATTAAAAGTCTAAGTCGTCTAATGAACTGGCAAACAAACAAAAATGACCAACCAAAACATTATTGTCATTATTGTTCTCATGCCTTTACTAGAAAGGATTTATTAACAAAACATTATGAAACTGGTTGTATGGCAACACATGGACAACAGTTTAAATTACCAAAAGAAGGTAGTTATATTGAATTTGAAAAATACAATACAAAATTAAAATGTCCATTTGTTGTTTATGGAGATTTTGAGTGTATAACTGTAAATTCAAATAATGGCATCAAGGGCACGTATCAGGAACATAAACCATGCGGTTATATGTTGAATGTTGTAAATTCTATTGATAATACAAGTCAACCTTTTTTATACCGTGGAGAGGATTGTTTAGACCACTTTGTAAATAAATTAAGAGAAATTAAAAAAGATATTTTTGATAAAATGAATGTTAATAAACCAATGGATATTACAGATGAACAAGAAGCAGAATTTAGAAAAGCTACTGTATGTTCAATATGTAATAAGAATTTTAAGCCAGATGATGTCAAGGTTCGTGACCACTGTCATTTTACTGGTGAGTATAGAGGTTGTGCTCACGAAAAATGTAATTTGGATTATTCATTTAGATATTTCAAGATACCAGTATTTTTTCATAATTTAAAAAACTATGACTCTCACTTAATAATAGGCAAAGCAAATGAAATAAATAAGGAATTGAACGAAAATAAGAGAATAGATGTAATAGCACAAAATAGCGAAAAGTTTATTACATTTTCATTTGGTTCATTACAGTTTAAAGATAGCATGGCTTTTCTCTCAGCATCTTTGGATAAATTAGTTAAGTTAAATAAATATGACATAGTAGGTAAAGATGAACATGATAAACCTATATATAAAAAGCGGAATGACTGGAAGGATAATTTCCGATTTTCATCAGCAAATCCATATATTAGAAATAAAACCGATTTAGACTTATTAACTGAAAAAGGAGTTTATCCTTACGACTACATGAATTCATTTGATAAATTCAATGAATCGCAATTACCAAGTATAGAAGACTTTTACAGTCAATTATATGAAGAAGGCATAACAGATACACAACACACAAGGGCAAAAGTAATATGGGATAATTTCAATATCAAAAACCTAGGTGAATACCATGATTTATATTTGATGACAGATGTTTATTTGCTTAGTGATGTTTTTGAAAACTTTAGGGATATGTGCTTAAATTATTATGGTTTAGACCCTGCTCATTACATAACATTACCTAATTATTCGTGGTCAGCCTTCTTATCTCTTACTGGTGTTAGACTTCAACAAATACATAATAAAGATATGTATGAAATGATTGAAAAAGGTCTTCGTGGCGGGATGACTCAATGTGCTCATAAAAAAGTAGAAGCAAATAATAAATACATGAATGAACAATATGACTTGTCAAAACCATCAAGTTATATAAGTTATTTAGATGCTAATAACTTGTATGGTCTGGCTATGAGTAAAAAACTACCGTTTGATAATTTCAATTGGTATTTTTCAAGGATGGATGAGAAGAAAGTATTAAGTTATAAGGATGGATGAGAAGAAAGTATTAAGTTATAGCGATGATGATGACAAAGGCTATATTTTAGAAGTTGATTTAGAATATCCAAAAGAATTACATGATTTACATA